CTTCAATATAAATTTCAGTAGTAAAATGTATAAATTTTAGGATATTTATTTTATTCGACAATTATTAGAAAATGAAATATTTTACAGTATTAAATAGGATTTCATTAAAATGATTTAAGAAATATCTTATTTAAGATATTTATCACTGAGAAACGTCTTTCTCTAAGTAATTTAATTGTATATTAATTTTTTTTATTTGTTTAAATATGTTTGAAAAATGATTACTTTTACAAATGAGTTTTTTTGTATCATTAATGAAAATGGATTATTTTTGAAAAAGTGAAATATATCATTTCACAGTACAATTATAATATTTAAATATTTAAGCTTTAATCAACCCGACACTTTTTACATAGTCTACATGTTACAATATCAATCCATTGAAATAAAACAATATATGTCTACTGTATTCCAAAATAACTAGTATAATTATTAAAAACATTATTTAGAGTATTATTTTATGATACTTAAATTTAAACTATAAAGAACTTTGCAAAATGAAACACTAACAACGTCAAATCTAATTTCTAGTAAGAATTTTTTTTAATTTCAGGTATGAATTCTTCAAATACTTACTATATAATGTTCGCGATGAATCAAATCTATCCCATGAAAACATGGACGATGGACTGAGTTCAATTACGCAAAATCAACGAAACATAAGTAGTGGCGGCACGGCTTCCAATACTAGCAGTAATAGCTTTCAAGGGGCAGGCCTCTATTTCAATAAAAAATCTTCAGCACCCGTTCTATTCGAGGTGACGAGGAGTTAAGTCGATGAAAAAGATAATGTGCGAAAATGTGTATATATAGTGATTGACTCGCGAGTGCTGTTATTATATTATTTGATTAATGAGCGAGAAAAACATTAGGAGACAGATACTGTTTTCGCATTAAATTTAAGAAAAATGACAGAGAGAAAGAAAATGAGAAAGAGGCATAAAAGATGCGAAATTTCAAAAGAATAAAATAATGGCATGATATCTAAAAGTGAAGTTTTTTCTAATACGTAATTCTCATGCTTGATCTTTCAACAATTTATTTGTTATTGATTATAATATTGTTCCCTTCGTTTTGAAAAATATTTTTTTTATATTGTAAAGATGTGTGCACAGAAATTTTGTAAATAATTTGAGAATCAAATAAGGTAATTATTGCAAAAAAATTTCGTAACCAAGTTAGCCTATTAAAATAGAAGAGTTAAATAAATTATCATTTTACTCTGTGAAATAAATAATAATAAAAATTATTCGAAGATAAACAGGAATTTAAGTAAACGTATTATCATTTAACACATTGAAATTATATAGCACTTTTCATTAGAAAAATTTTAAAGAATTTCTAAATAGTTTGAGAAAGGAATTCTTTATTATTCGAAACAGCATATAGTTTAATGAAACTATTTTTAGAATTTTATTTAACCAAGAAGGAATATAATAATTTAATTTAATTTAGAACAAAAATATCTGTTAGAGAATTTAATACTGCTATTTCCGTCATATTAGTGATAAAATAATCATTGTTATTAAATTTTATCTGATGTAAATTGCTTTGTACATGCGAAGACTTGTAAAGTCAATTACTGATACGTATGGTATAGGAAACAAAATGAGAAAAACACTAAATTGTACAGATATAGAAAAAATAAGAATAATTAGAAGGATAAGTTGCATAACTCGTTAGTTATATATCAATCAAAAGGATTTATTACTTCGATGATCAATGAAATTTCTCATAAGTAATTAAAAGAACTTACATTTAAATTAATTTAATTTAATTAATGAGTCTTATACATACTTCATTAAAAAATATTTACAGTATATAATTAAATATTCTATACACTGTAATAAACTGTTAAAATTGTTCAATTGAAAAAAATTATATTCTTAAAGTAGCTCTAAAAATAACATTCTAATAATAGTCTAATGAATTATTGTTTAAGGTTTAAAATTTCAAATTGATTTTAATATTTCTGAAGCATTTGCATGATAATTAATCACGAACTTTTAGACTCGTTCTAACTATTTTTCTTAAATTTTATTTATATATGATTTAAATTAAAGAGTCTCATTGAAATCAGATTCGTTTATTATACAAACAAATTTAAATTTCCACAAATTGTAGAAATATTTTAAATAACTTTTATATATAATAAGTCTACTTAAATACGTATATAAGTTAAAAAATAATATATTTTTTAGGCTTAAATATTTAAGTACAGATATCAATAAAAAATTATATAACATTCTGATGATTTCCAGTCTTTAAAAAGCTTTATATTCTTTATTATCAAATTTTAATTTTAGATTTTAGTATACAAATAACTACAAAAACAAGAAACAGGGAATATTTAAGCCATCATCAGGGTGCTTTACAAATCACAAACTTAATCGTATGATTGATGCCAGAATATTATTATTAATTTAAGAAATTGCAAGCGCATATTGTAGAATTTTTGTTATAAAAGAAATTTATAAGTTGCGTTAATATCTTTTTAATGAAAATTATTAAATTTAATCCAATTATGATTATCGATTATTTTGAAATGATCTACAAGATTAAAAACATCAATTTCGTTATTTCAATATATTGTATTATTTATATTATTAATTTATTGTGCTTTATAAAATTATGAAATAAAAACATTTTTATAGTTGTTAAAAATAATCCAAGATGTGAATATATGTCAAATAAAAAATATTAATCTTACGTTCAAAATAATCGAACTTAATTGATATTAAAGTTACTTACTATTCTACATCGCCATATTTTTAACATACTAATAATACATATTTCACTATATTCCACAGTATTGCTTCCTGTGGCTGTGATTACTGAGTCAAACACATATGATGTTGACTTTAAGAGGGAGTAATATCATGTGACAACTCTTTTGTTCACGCCATAAATACAAACATTTTAGATATCTATTTTTCATTGCCATTTTTTTTTCACACCATTATATGAAATATGATAACTATGTCTATTTTGAATTATTCATGTTTAAATCTATATATTATTAACTCCTGTATGTTTGCAGAAAAAATATTATTCATCAAATCAAATTTTCTTGCACGAGGTCAGTATTGATACAATTGGATACGATTTATTTGATATAAATGCAAATATCCTGTACAAGATGTTTTGAACAAAATTTTATTTAAGAATTTGTGGTATAATTACTTGTTTATTGTACATCATTATCATTTGTATAATTTTACGTTATTGTACCTGAATCAAAAACAGATATAAAGCAAATGCTTTTAACTTGATTGTGAATAATCGTATATTTAGATTAATTGTGCTATTTCTGTTTTTATAACAATTCCTAAAAAAAAAAATCTTAAATAAAATTTTAGGGTTACTTGCATAATAAATTAACAAATAAATATATATACATAAAATTTATTGATTTAAAAAATATATAATAAGACAATACTTTTTAGAAGGAAATTTATTCATTTTTTAATTTCTGAAGTATTTTTTACATTTTTCAATAGAATACAATTACAATTTTTAGAGTGCATGTCCATAAATAATTTATTTTATGTTGTCCCATTTTGATCTACTAACAACTGAGTTGCCAAATAAATCAAAAAGAGAAAATTAAAAAATTAATATAAAATTTAATATGTATGTATGCAAAGCTCACACTTTTACAAAATTACTGTCTTATTATTATGTATTACAATGATACCGAACAGATGAGTAACATCGCGTAACGTATGGAATGTAATAATAATGTAAATAAAATATTCATACAAAATACAAAAAATTAGTAATTAATATATTCCATTAATAATTTTCAATCTTATTTAAAAATTTCATTCTAATATATTATATTATTTTACGAAATAATTAAAAATATTCTTTTATGAATTATATATTTTTTATATATCTATAAAAAGGTGAATATTAGTAATATTATTAACATAATTCTTTACCAACATCTAAATAATACATTTATAATATTTAACATCTTAAAATCATTAATAAAGATACTAAGAAATCTAAACTGTGAATCTTTTATTTGGATAAAAAATGTTTGTCAAATTTATACATAATTCATATTTTAATAAATTTCTAAAATTAATAATGATTTTATCAAAATCGTTTTAAATAAATATCATTAAAGAAACTATTTCCAAAAAAAATAATTTTATATAAGTAATGTTTTGTAAAAAATATGAATAATTCTAATTCATATTTGTGTGTAAGTAGTGATGAGTGAATAGTTCGAAGTTCATATCACTTTGATTATATTTTATCTCCTTCAGTTATATCATATGTTTCACTTTGTGATTTCAACCAAGTTATGTAAAATTCAATTTTTTTCATAAATAATGAAATATTTGTTTTTGATATTTTTATTGATTTCATATCAGTAGATGACTGAAATTTACTATTAAATTCATGATCAATTGGTTCTGGTTGTTTTTTAGAAATTTTTGTTTTGACTTTATATAATAGCTGATGAAGATCTGATAGTGCAGTAATTACATAAAAAGATTTATTTTTTTCTTCTGGTCCATTCAAAATTAAATCACCTGCCTTTTTAGTTTCTAAAATAGTTTCTTGATCTCCAGATAGGATTTTATTCTGAAAACATATTCAAAGATTATCTTATTAAGTTTCAATCAATCTTACAAAGCAAAGAAAAATTAAAAACAGTAAATTGTTTACATTTGCAATTTCAAGTAGAACATGTTCAATGGCACTAGAGCAATCTTTAAATATTCTATTTACGCGCAAAGTATCACAAATTTGCAAAAAAATATAAACAGCATCAAAAGAACTAGAATGATGTTCACCATTAAAGTACAAAACACTGAATGCATAAGCATATATAGTATTAATGATATTAAATCTGATTAATGGAGATACCTTCTAAAACATTTAAATAGAAATTAGCATTTTTTAAAATTTATACAATTAAATATCTACAACCATAACCAAATTACTAACGGATATTGATTTTAACGCTGAACAATTTAAAATTTGTGGACAATTATTTTTGTAATCTTGATCATTATTGGTATTATCTATTTCTTCTATAAGTTTTTTTGAAACAGAAAAAGTCCACCATGGGTTCCACAAAGGTAATAATTTTGAAGCTTCTCCACTTGCAATCAATGTTTCAAATTCTTGTTTTTCATATGCAGTTAAAGCAGACCATAATTCATTAGCATTATCCAAATTTATATTTTCTAAGCGTTTCTCTAAACATTGAATCTACAATACAAATATTATATTTTTCTTATAAAAAATTAAAGAATTATTAATAATATTTTACATTGTCATCATCAGAATCAAGTTCCATCACATCGTTATTTTCATCTTGTAAAATATCTGTTAACACATCATCTTCTACTTCTTCATCATACATCTTTTGAAGTATATTTAATGTCTTTAGTCTTATTTTAGGATCAGACTGTTGTGCTCTTAATTCTTCTTCTATGCATTGTTTATAGAACATTTCTGAGCAGTCTAAATGAGCTGTAGATTTATAACATTCCATTGAACAGTAATTTACACTACATTTTGGGCAAACATAAATACTTTGATTTATTTGACACCTGTAATTAAATATTTCATTTTACAATATTAATATTATTAAATAAACAATAAAGTGGTTATAATTTTGTATTTTGCAAAAAATTGTCATTAATACATATAACGACATTAATATTTACAGTTTACAAAGTTGATAATCCATTGAAAATGAGACTGAGGATTCCATTATATTAGCTTTTATATAATTATAAATTGATTCATTTTAAGTTTTAGTCACTGCCATCATCTAATAACATAAATGTTAGAATATGAGTTATAATTAAATTTTTAATCTTTTTTTATAAATATCGCAAAGTAATATTAATAAAATAATTTGATATTTTATAACATCTTTTACATAAAGCAAATTCTATTTCTTAATTATATTTAAATCTTATATACAAATATTTAATCTACATTACTCGAGTTATAAAATTATTCAGAAAATTGTATAAAATAATAATCAAGAATAACATAATTATAACTGAAAATTTGTTGTCAACAAAGTTATACATCTACTTATTTCATGCAAAGCCATAATCTTTTTATAAACTCCGAAATTGTTATGAATACTTGATCTTGTTGGTAGTACCGTAATTCTATTATGCACTTAAATATTAACTGCTTTATCAATTAATACTAAAAAATCTTTCACTAATTCAAACGTGAATAATTAAACCATTAATTACAAATATTATTTTTAACGAATTAAACTTGAAACTAAACAATTGAATAACGTAAATAATTATGTAGATTCAAAAACATTAAACTAGATCTTTTTTTTATTACATTTCCATTATTTTCAAAATTTAAAAGTTATACAATGTTAAACGTAAAAAATACTGTTTGCGACACTCGTTGTCAACAATTTCAAAAAGAAGCTGTGAGCAAAGAAGAAAGGTTAAAATCAAAATGGTTTATAAAAAATCGGCAGCTTCTCTATGATAATTTAGAAAAAGACAAATTTTTCAAAAAACATAAAAATTTGCTGCAAAAGAAAACCGATATCAAAACTTCTATACAAGATGCAGAAGAGCCCGTAGAAATTGTATGAAAAATTTTATAAATGAAATTGAGAATTGTTTATTAAAAGTAACGTGCATTAATTTAGGTTAAAAAATCAATTTTATCATGGAGGCCTTCAGAAAAAGATGTAAATTTTGCTTTAATGAAACCTATTAAATCAACAGTAAAAGATATTCTCTATGCGCCAAAAGATGCAAGTTTCATTTCTAAAAAGAAATATTTTCAAGAACGGTTTGTAATTTATATTATAAAAAGCAATGATATATTATTATATTATTTAAATGATATTATTTTGATTAATATTTTTATGGATTAACTTAATTATGAACCGTTGTTATAAGAGAAAATACTAAGGAATTTAAAATTTTGTTTTTAATTAAATTTTATATATATATTTTCCATAAAATTATAATACAGAAACATTTTTTAAAATAATATATGTATTGGGGATAATAATGATAGGAATGATAAATTTACAGCCTGAAGGAAAAACCAGAGGATAAATTTTATTATCCTTACTGTTCAAGTTGGGTTTGTGGATGGCGGTTAAAGGATTATCCTTCAACCGTTACATCGAAATATGGTGTCAGATCCGTTATACAATCATCATTCTATCGTCGAAATGCTTCGAGCATACAACGAGATCCTGATTGGTATCGAATGTGTCAGATCGGTGATCCAAAGAATTTTAACGATTTATTAACTTATTAACTGAATAAAGTATACTGTTAAAATTAAAGAAACGTTTTATAATATAACTCATTGCCACCTTAGATTTTGTATTTGTTTTGATTTCTTAAATAATTATTGAATATGCAAATATTAAAATAGTTGAAGATTGAAGATTAATAAATGGAGTTTAATTGTAAATATAATTAGTAATTTTTAAAAATTTCAGAAAAATCTTGTCAATGAATTTATATAATAAAAAATGTGACTAAAGTCACTTTTCTAATGTATTTAAATTCTACATTAATTAATTTAAAGTCTACATTTCTAAGTGTATTTAACGAGTGTCCATATATTTATAAAGCTTTAACTAATTTGTAATATTAAAAGTTAAACAAGGATGTTGTGAAGCATATAATGAGACATTGAGTATATGCAATATATTGGAATCACCGCTTTTTAAACAAAAATAAAATATTAAGTTTTTATATTACTACATTAATTAAATATATTAAAATATTTATATTAAAGTAGAATTAGTAATGCAATTAATTTTTTCATCTTTTTCTTTAAACAAAATTTATTAAAATGAACACCAAATTAAAACCATAAATTTGTAATATATCTTGTTTGGTTTTATATAGCCACAAACATTAAACGTATGTAATTACATGCATTAATAGGGTAATTTTAAAATAAAAACTAATTAGATTTTTATCTAACTTTATACATAAACTGTATGTAACAATATAAGAACTAACTGGTTATTTTTAAGCTTTACTTAATTATAAAAATAAACATCTGACTCAATAAACTTTTATATTATACAATTATATATTTATAGCATAAATTTATGTGTATATAAAATAAATCTAAAATTCAACAGACGAGCCATATATATTTCCAATTCGATTTGCATTTATTATTGTAAATGTATATTATGGCTATATCCGTAAGAAAAATTAGTTTAAAAACTATGATTGTAATTTAACTACTTCAAGATTTAAATTTAATTCTAGTTAAATAATATACATCACACATTTGTTTAACTTAGCGTATTAAAATATTTCCTGTACATTTTACTTAATTTGAGATTAGCATTTAGTGTTATTATTTTAATTCATTCATTTTTGCTTTGTTCTTGTGTTGCAGCCTTCATTAATTCATATAACTGATAAATTTGCTCATCTCTTAGTATTTCAAAATCTTCTTTTTTAAGTGATTTTCCTAATGATTTGGCATTTAATGAATTTCGTATATTAAGTTGATCTGACAAACTTAGTGCATAATCCTGTTAAATAAACATATACTTAATTTAACCATATATGTAGTCATAATAAACTGCTGATTTGCAATCAATAATGAAATGCATAAGTAATTGTCAGATATCATTAAGATTAAAAAATGAATGAAATATACAAAAGCTTATTAAAAATCTCTCACCATCCATTCTTTTATAAATACGTCAGCTTCGTAAGAATTACATTTTTTGTGTCTTTTAAATTCGCTCTTAACGTAAACATCGCCTAATTCTTTAATATCTTTCGGTAAACTACGATGTAACCTCAAAATCATTTTATATAATCTGCTAACACGTTGCACATGTGTCCATGATGTAAGCATAGTGTATGTTTTATTAAATATAATTACATTTAATAAAATTAATTAAATTTAGTTATAATTTATTGTATAAGTACATGTATATCTTTTATCAAAGAAAATATGTACAATTTTTATGTTATAATGAAATTAAAAAACTGATTAGATGTCGTCTGCTACATGAAATAAAACTTTAGAAGTGTTAAAGTACAATATTATTTGATATAAGAATCTATTTACATTAAACAATTAGATGTAAAAAAATATTTATGCAATGTAAAATGTAAAACAAATGAAGATAAGAGATACGTTAAAATATAATGAGATAATGACTTTAAAAAAATGTAATTCTAGAAATTTATTGGAATCATCAGAATTTTAATGATTTTTTAATTTATTTGTAAGTATGAAATTAATTATAATACCAAAACTAATTTTACTTAAATAAAGATTTTATATAGTAATGTTAATTAATAAATAAATATTGGATTTAATGAATTTAAAAATCACGTATTTGATATTTAATAGTATAATAAATTGATCACTGAAATAATATTTTTTAAAAGAATTTTTTTATTTTTTATTATCTAGGTTATAGTTAACATTAGACAACATTAATTTTAAGTGTTTTATTTCATTTTTATGGAGAAATGCTTAGAATATTTTAGATATAAGTTTACCTAATAATTAACTATAGACTATGTCCACTCCTTACATAAATATTATTACTGTTAGTTTAATTACTTAACTGAGAGTCGTTAAAGTCGTATCATTAAGAGATATCAAAATTTGACTTAAGTATAGTATGTGTTAATGTACGTATATGCTTAACTTTAGATCCCATATATCGCTTTATTATAAAGTAAAAAATTATCGATGTTTAATATATTGAAAATACATTAATGTTTCATGAGTAATATATTTGCTGTAGCTTTATTGTACTTTGTTCGCCTAACAAATATAATTTGTATACGAAATGTCATTTCGTAAGCAGTGGTATATTATTTAAATCTGTAGTGAACTACTTTTAGTACAATTTAAAAAGGAGCGTGCATACTTTTACAATGTTGTGTGTATACCTGCTCAATTTCCATGCACATAATCACATTAATGCATTAATACATTTATAGAAGTTCTGATTTCAATACCATCATTACGGATGTAAATATGCCTATGACTAATTTTTCTAACTGACTAGAAGAGTAAAAAGTTAAGAACATTGGGAAGGTCAGAATTAAATGACTCGCTAATGGGAATAAGATACTTTATTAAGGAAAATATGAATATTTTAATTGTCGATATTTTTACTAATTAATATTAAGTTTCTAATAAAACTATGGATTTTCGACAATTACAATATAGACAATTACAAAATCGACTGAATTTTTAATAAAAATTATGCATTAAATAATATATTAAACAGTTTTTCTCATTGTATCTAATTTTGTAATTTGTCTTAAAATAAATTTATGTATATATGATTTATTATAATTATCTATGCGTTATTATAATCATAGAATTAATCAAATATGTTTTCTTAATTAAATGTTATTAATATTTGGAAAATCAATAAAGAATACTGATTTGCAATGTCAATAAATCATATTAATGTTTTCATGTATTTCATAATGCTATATAACGTTAGAAAATTTCTTATTAATAAAATAACATTATAGTTCTGATTATATATCAATATGTTTATTCTTTTAATCTTCAATAAACTTAATATTTAATTAATGGAAATTAATTTTGACAAAAGTAATATAATTTTTTTCTATTTATCTCTTCAGATATTATAGAATTTAAATTATTGTGTATAGTTTAAATATTAAATGAAAATCAAATAAATAAATAAAGTAATATTTTAATTTAACTTTTGTACTATAATTGTGTTTAATCTATAATTCAGTTTAATTTAAAATCATTTATGTATATTTAGTAAATTGTTGAATTAGTTTTCCAAAATATTCGCATTAATAAAATCCTATAATAAAATGATGAAATTTTCTTACTGTGCTACTAAAATTTTATTATAATTCAAAGTAATTGAAATATTCTTTCTTTTTTGATAACACCATATTTTTCAGAAAAATTTTATATGCACAATATTTGATTATTTAATAAAAAGAATATATATTTAAACGAAAAACTTCAGAATAATTTTAATCTATTAATATTGAATATTGCATACATATTAAAAAAATAAAAAATAAAAAAATGAATAAAACAATAATCATCAATAATTTCATAAATGTAAAAAGAAACAAATTTGACTATTTTTATTGTTTTTTACCATGATTCCTTTTGAAATTTTAAATTTAAAGAATTTTTTCAATAAAAACATCTATTATAATCATTCGTATCTTTTTAAATTCAAACAACCCACTAATAGATTTAATATAATATATTAAACTTCAATTTCATAAATATAAATGTTTTATTTTAATGGAGTTTGACATAATTAAAATTAAATTATACAAACAAAATGAATAGCTGTCTACTGATTTTGTTGTCCACTAAATGATTTTATCTACAAATGTTTGCGTATCGAATCAAAATGTTAGTCTTAATAAACATTAAAATTTTTATCGAATTTCCTTATTAGGAAGAGAGAGAGAGATAGAGAGAGAGAGAGAGAGAGAGAGAGAGAGAGAGTGTGTGTGTGTGTGAGAGAGAGAGAGAGAGAGCGCGAAGCCTTTAAAACATATTAAATTAATTACAGATGGGTAAGAAGAAATTCTGTTTACTATTGCAAAACGTTGAAACAAATGCACGTATTTCTATCTGTCATCTTAAGTAAAATATGTTCGATTGATTTTCTTTCAATGGTAGAAGCGATCAACTATTTATTATTAGCTGGATGTTTTCGAGACATCCTTTGATTTTTCGATCTTCCGCTACCTTTTGGTCTAGCGAGTGTACCTAACGGTTTCCGCGTGAAATAATATACCTGTTCGCCAATTTAAAGTAAACAAATTATCACTTTGGAATTGTGTACCCCAGTCACAGCAAGCTTTTGCTTCAAACCGCCTACTCTACTTGTCTCTTTGCACTTTCCATTACATGAGTACCAATTTGTAAAATATTTATTTGCATACATATTATTATATAAAATGCATTCATACTTAATACTAATTGTCTCAATGGGTGTATTGGTAAATGTCAGTAGCAGTTGCTTAACGCAAACAGGAGCGAATGGACGATGCATTAACATACGAAAGTGTCAACCAGTATTAAAGCACACGAAAAGTCGCCTACCGTTAAAGTTCGATAATCAGTTATGGAATGTGTATTGTGGTTTCGAAGGTAAAACTATTTTCATGATTCATTTGTATGTATTTATATAATATTTTAAATAATACTTGCAATGTTTTTATTTCACTTTTATTAACTACAAAAAATTAAATATAATCATTTACAATTATTTAAAACTTATGTGATATTTGTAAAGACACTTTAATAACAATACTAAATCTTATTGAAATAAATTTGATACAAATACTTTAATATTAGTTCCTACGTATATTTAGAATTACTTAACAACAAATTTCTATTCCACAATTTTCACAAATTTCACAATTATGTTTTAACACTAATTTTAACGATTACTTCCCTAAAAACTTTTACTTTTCCACGTACCTGAAGGAATAATTATTAAATTTAAAAAAAAAATAATTCTTTTCAACTTATTACTCAAATAGTGAGCATTATAATGATGTACCGTCTGTTTGCTTAGGTTGAGTTATTTTTTAAATCATTATAATAACAAAGTAAACTATATATTACGAAATATAATTATATTTTTCTTACTTTACAGATAAACAAAAAGAAATTAAAATTTATTTAATATAAATTCTAGTAAATTTTGTTTATTAACTATTTTTAACTTACAGTGGAATGAAGCAAAGTAATTTATATAAATTACTTTATATAATGGTAATTGAAGATAATTGAAGAATAATTGTCAGTCAAATAAATTCACGTACCTCATTAATCAATTTCATGACTTTATGCAACAAATTAAATTTGTTTTTTTATCATTTAATATAAAGCTGATTTAAAATTCTTAAACCCTTAAAATTGTTAAATGCATTAAATGTATTTTTTAAAGATATTATTAGTATGTTTTAAAGGCAAGAAAATAAAAATGTATTTAAGTTTAATTATTATTTATCGCAATGTTGATGTTCAAATAGTTAAAAATAAATTAAGAAATTATAAATTTTTGGATCGATCGTAGAGCTATCCTCAATTATATTTAATTTTTGTATAGTAAAAGTTAAGCATTATAGATGTCAAATAACGCGAGCTTTTCTCTTTCTCTTTCTCACTAGGTAGTGATCCAATGATCTGCTGTAAAGAGTCATTGATAAAGCTTCCAGAGCCGCAAAAAAACACCAAATCCCCCGAGACAGTCTCCAACGACAGTCACCCTAAACTCAAGCTGCTGGACCATAAGATGTGCGGACCCATTGCTGCTGATCCCAAGATCTACGGTGGCTCCTCCACCAGAATTTTCGAATTTCCTTGGATGGCTCTATTGGCATATGATGACAATGACAACAACTTTCAATTTAACTTTCGTTGTGGGGGAACAATTATTAACAAAAATTATATACTGACGGCTGCGCATTGCGTAACAAATTTACCTGAGAGTTAGAATATATTTTGTCGAAAAGTTCTTTTTATTAATTTTACGTTACTTTTTAAAAGTATAATTTTGTTTTTATTTGCTTATTTGTATTCTTATTTATTCTTATTCAGTAATATTCTTCTTCAACCATTTTATATTTTTTCATTTTTATATTATTTTGTAGATTTTTGATACATTATTTGTTCTAATTTGCATTACAATTCCTTTTTATTCAATTTTATTTTTCTATGTTTTTTCTAAATATGATTTTCTTTCATTATTAAATTATTACCTCTTCTATTGCTCTCGATGATCACATGTATATATTCATAAACTACATATATGCATATGATAAAAAAGATATAAAATATTATTTCTTATTACAATATCGTACCTTTACCACTGCTGCTATATATTGTATGCACTTTTATTTGTGTTATAAAAATCGATCATATTTCTTTGAAAATCTGTATTTTCGAGATATACTTGTATAGCAGTATAAAATTTTTGTTTTCATCTTATTTTATTTTGACGACTTAAGTGATTTTCTTATCCTTATTAATATATTTTTTGTCTCCTATTCGATACTTTATGTCTTCATTTATTAACAATCTTTTATTGTCTAATATTTTTTAATTTCTTTAGTTACTTATAATAACTCGTAGTTCCATTCTATTGGCAAACTATTGCTTTAATTTCTTTATTATTGTAATTATTATTTCTCCATTTTTTAAACTGCCTTTTTACACCTTCTTACGTAATTTTATTATTTTTTCTCATATATCTTGTATATTACGGTAATTCATTTTTATTTTTAAACGCCTTTTCACTTTTTCTATCACTTTCTCTTATTAAATTTGTCTCCAATTTGTTTCAACCACTTTCTTTCTTTTATTCAACTGCTATACTCTATTAACTAAAAATAATTTGTTAATTCAATTAAAAATTAATTGTAATGTCATAAGAAAGAAATAGTTGTTCTTACTCCTTGGTAAGATACATAAAATGTAAATGAAAAATTAAGGTTTATTAAACAGTTTGGTTTTTAATAGTTACTGATTTAAGCATTTTACTCAACTCTTATTTGCTTATTGTTGAAAAATAATTATTTTTAAAATATTTTATAGTCCTCCTTTTTAAGTATATTTTTCTTACTCCTTTAGATTATCTTTTCAAAAAAAAGTTATAAGTTTAAATAGATCTTATTTGAAGATAAATGTAATTTTGTTATTAAATTTCAGGCATAGATTCTCAAATATTTTTAAAACAGGTCATTATTTTAATAGTTGCAAGTTTATAAAATTTCATAAAGTACATTTGCATTTGTTTTAATCCTCGCGCGCGCACGTACATAAAATTATAAATATATGTTGATATTCTTTATATTTTATTATTTAAATGAATGAAATGATAAATTCTTACAGATTTGAATTTCGTTGGCGTTAGAGTAGGAGAACACGATCTTACAAAGGAACAGGATTGCGAAATTTATGATAACGGCGCCGTTCACATCTGTGCTGAAAAGTACCAAGATTTTGAAATAGAAAAGATTTATCCGCACCCAGAGTATTCATCAATAACATTAAGAAATGATATTGCCCTCGTCAGGTAAGAAAAATGACAACCTGATAATCGAAGAATTTAGTAATAAAACAATCCCTATTTTATCTATTATTTTGTCCTTGTTTCGTTCGTATAAGCATGAGATTATTTTTCTACAGCCTTAATTTTGGTATTTATAAAATAATTAATTACCGTAGCCCATACAAAATATTGCAGTTTTAAAAATGAAATATCGTTATGCCATCTCCCTCATTCTTATCTATTCCCGCATTTCATCAATGTAACTGTGCACCATTTCTTATTCAGAATAAGGGGTAGAATTAATTTCAAGTCGGCGAATGTTCGCCCGATTTGTCTGCCCTTGGATACGGCCTCGAGAACGATGGGCAAAACCGCCCTTATCACCGGCTGGGGCTCAACCGAGGACGGTTACAGCATTAGCAATATCTTGCTACAGGTGCAACTGCCGATTCTTTCGAGCACAGTGTGCAGACGCACGTACCGTGACCAGCCCTTCGTCAAACTTTGGCATAAACAGATCTGTGCGGGTGGTGTCAAAGCCAAAGATTCCTGCACCGGGGACAGTGGTGGACCTCTGCAGTCGGTTTCGATATATAAGGGTGAGGCCAGAGTCGTGCAACAGGGTGTCGTCAGCTTTGGCAGGAAAAATTGCGCTGTAAAAGGATCGCCTGGGGTTTATACGAGTGTCGCACACTACGTGGATTGGATACTCGATACAATTGAGTGATTTGTATTGTGTAACACAGTAAGTTCCTAAAATGTGCAGTAGTAATGCAGCGAGCATTTTTTTTTTCGTTACAATCACGTTGAAATATTAGTAGGCAGGTGCACGCGAGTATTAAGAAGTCTTGCGCTGTGAGAAAAACAAATTAAAAGCAATTGATAAACAGGCCACCCATCCTGACAATCGACGATGTATAAATCGAGCATATAATTAAGAAATTGTAATATTGAGTGCCAATAAATATGGTATTTATTAATCTGTTTTACCATGCTACTAATTTTTCATCCAACAGGGATATGCACATATTTCTATATACGTGTACCCACGCATATACACACATACTCATGTATGCATGAATGTGTGCAATCATTTAATTATTGTCTTAATTGTCATATACATGTATTTTCTATCAGCGCTGATGTAACAATTTTGATAGGTGAACGTGATTCTGCAAGCATTCAACGAATACAGTATTACCATAAGTATAAGAATTTCAATGGAGTCTTTAAATTTCATAAAGTGTACAATCATCTGATTGTAAAAATATATAAATTAATATATAAATAATATATAAATTATATAAGAATTATTTTTGCAAACTATATTTGCCAGTAACTTTAATTTATTAATTCAAAATTTGACTTGATTAAATTTGCAAAAAAATAAAAAAATATGTGTATTTTTAGGCTAAGCAACAAAAGTTTTCGATATTTTTTCTCTATGAATAAAGAAGCATTCCAACCAATTCAAAGTTTAATATTTCAAAGATTAATAGTATCAAATATTTATGTTATAGCAACTACAATAATGTAAATATTTTATATCTTCAGTTACAAAATTTTCAAATGAATCTAAGAAACATATTTGTAAGTGATAAATTTTCTTTTATACATTTTATTTCGTCTTCATAAATATAATATTTATAATTTTACATTTACAATTAAAAATTGAATACATTTATTTCGTCAATAAGAATTTCCATATTCACATAATTATAAGTTTGCACATTTATTTAACTAATAATTGAGAAAAATTAGTGTTTATTTTTAAATATTTGTTTTAAAATATAAAACTGTATTTAAATTTTTTATACAAAAGTAAAATATAAAAGATTGTAAAATAATAATATATTTACATAAGTTGTAAAGAATAATTATTAGGTTTTTACATTAATATTAGAGACATATTGCTAATTAAAATCTTAAAAAATATAATCTTTAAGTATTCTTTTAAATATAATTAATTAATTTCAAATATTAAAACATACTTAAAACATAACAGTTAAAGTAATTGTACCACTTTAATATATTTATTATTAGAATTTTTATAATTAAATGATACATTAAAACTATTTCTTGTTGCTTATGTAATTATTAATATTTTTGTCTGTTTCGGATTACTCTTATTATTATTATTTTTTTTTTTCTAATAGTATTTGAAGTATTAGTAAGGCCAGGAATCTATTATTCAGTTTATTTGATAGTAAATGAAATTGTCATAGGGTACTTGTAATAAAACTTAAAAATATTAAAATGATTTGTATGGTAATATATTCGATTATATTACTTGTACATAATTAATAAATTTATTAAACAACATATAATTAAACTAAATAAGATAAATTAATTTTTTTCCTATAAAATATTGGAATCTTAAATAATATAGTAAGATATGGAAAATAAAATTTATTTAGATTTATACAATTTACATGCTGTAAGTATGCATTTGTATTAATAATTTATTCGAAATAATTATTAGAAAATTATTTATTGTACTACGAAAAATTTCGATTATATAGAAGCAGCATTTAACAATGGCTAGCAATATTAATAATGATTAATTTTAAATTGCATTATTTTGCATCGACGATACTGTAAATTGGTTATAATTAATGAATTTGAAAAACTTCCTAAAAAAATAATGTTTAATTTTATATACATTAATTAACGTAGTCTGAGGTAAACAGTATGTTTTATGCCGGGAAAAGTTCGAAATTAATAGAAACACTTGTATCGACTGATAAAGTTTCATGATAAATATTAAGTCAGATAATCAGTAAATAAAATAAAATAACCAAAATCACTTATTTAAAGTGAAAGAATGTTGTTCATTCATTAATTGACTTTCTACTTCAAGGTTTGATATTTTCTATTTAAATCGATAAAATTGTTTTTCAAATAACAAGATGTTTACAAAGCCTTTGAACCACGTGGATTCATTTATACAAGTATATCCATATACATTAATACAAGAGTTAAGAATTTATCTTATTTATTTTATTTTTTAATTTCTTTAATATACGTATAGACTCATATTCGTCGCAGAAAATGTATATCTAAAATTATATTCACTAAAAAGTAAACATAGCACATTTTGATTATTTAACATAATATGTGTTTATTCTATAATGGAAAGTTTTTACTTTAAAAACATATTTCAACATTAAAATCTTATATATTTATATTTAATTTTCTTAGGATTTAGTTGATCGACCTAATAAATCACGTTTTAATCAAAATATACATTATTATATGTATGAAAAAATTAGATTTGGAAGATATAATATTATATTAACGTATGCGTCGTTCTACAAAAATTTATTATATTGTATAAGTATATTAGTACTTGAAAATATTTTATTTTTTATATGAGTTTGAAGAATTAAAATTTATCAAAAATTAGAATATATTAGTATATTGAATTTCTCAAATATGATAATGAACGATTAATTAAGATTAACTTATTCTTCATATCCATCAAACTTAGTTGTATTTTATGTTAAAAAAAAAAGGAATGCTTAATGATAATGGTTAGAATATAAATCTCCTGGATCTATATGATGTACCGATATGCCAGTATATAAAATTTCAAATTAGTATTTTTTCGCTGCTTGTAGACAATTTACTCAGGCAAGTAAAATGAAATATTTTATAAATTGCGTTTTATTATTACAAAAAATTATATTAAGAGATAGATGATAATGAACTGTTTTAAATATATTTATGAATTATTATATTGTATTTATATACATTTTGCATCACTTATTATTAAATTGTACTGCCGACTTCCAGATTATTAATTCGGAAGTTATCGCTAAGTATCACTGGATCCTGAACAATTTTCAATTTTTACATGTATACAATTTTCATAATTAAAATATATCGACTCACAAATTATAAATTAACTTAAAAATATATGAAAGTAATATTATTAAATATGAAATAATCAAGATATACGCATTTCTCAGGAACTTTGCATACAAACAAATCTTACAATTTACATTCCCATATAAAAATTTCCTGTCACATTACTGTTACTGGGATGGACTAAGAAAATATGTTTACAACGAACGTTTCAAAGTATAGATAATAATTTTAACTAACAATTAAGTAATTTCTTTTACTTACAACGTATTTTAAAAAATGCATAGTAAAGTAAAATATATTTTTTTAAATAATAGCGCCATCTGAACAGTCGAAAACTGATATTTAAATTTTTGATACTTAATTATCCTCCGGAGTTCTAGCGTTTTGTATTTCCTATAAAAATAATAAAACTATTTATAAAAATGTGAATATATTTTGAAAATTTTATTTATTTTATGAATATATCAATTTTATTCTGAACATCGCAAATTTTATTTTAAAGTAATATCAATATCTAAGTGGAATAGTGAATTGCATGAAAAGAAAGATGCTAAATTTTAGCAATCGTAAAAAGTTTAATATAATCATTTGAAATAAAAATGTGTATAAAAACCCATGTTTTAAATGTAATTTAAAAATTTTAATTTAAATTTAAATTTAAAAAACAATTATATTAAAAACAAACTTACCCTATTTCGACGTTCTCCAAATTTAGACCAGAAGGTAACTTTGCTAGTCGATTTTTGACCAGTTTGTTTGTTAAACACTGAACACGTAGAAAATGGTGGTGAATATAAATGTAAAGAAACCGCTGGATTAACGGTACTCAAATTTTCTACTCGATGTAATCCAATTGAATCTAATTGTAAAAACACAAACTTGCTAAATTTTTATAAATTTATTGTAATTTAATGCAATGTATATTAGTATATAAATATTAATTTTTAATTATTTTTATCAGTCAAATTAATTTCCATAAAGTAGTAAATGATTTTTAAAAAAATCATTGAAATATATATGTATTTTCAGTTTTCCTAATTTATTTATATATTACTAAAAATAAGAAATAAGTGATTCCCATTACTATATCTCATTATTCTCTATTATATATAAGAGCGTACAACAATATTGTTTGCAATATAAAATTTTAATATTTATATTTATTTAAACTCTTACCATTTATATACGTAACATCATTATTTTTATAAATACACCTATTTATTTCTTCCAATTCTCCTTGGAATTCATTTCCTTGATTATCCAAATACTTCTTTGGCCATTTATATTTGGTCTAAAAAAATTTAAATATAAACAACATTTTATTTATTATAGATATGATAATTGTTCAGTTATTAATATTATTGCATTAATATAAAATTTTGGTAATAATGTAAATTTTAATTATGATTTATTTATAATTTCTTTTATAAAAATGCTAAGTCAACTAAATATAATTCGTGTATATGAAAAAAAAAAATTAGAATGAATATGTTCATTATTATGAATATTATGAATATTATTATGAATATTAGATTGTATATCCATAATTAACAATTATTTGATCCAATATATTTGGTATTAAAATATCGCAATCAATATTTATCATCTTAAGTTAAGAAAGACGTTGACTTATTAAATTGACAGCCCGTATGAGAAATGTAATGTTATTAGAAGTTACAGTCATGATGCTGTAATCTGTTATTTCTTATTAAACGTGAAAACAACTCGATACATCAATTTTCCTACGTATTTGAATATAAATACTACTGATTATAATGTCAGACGGTATATGTTATTTTTTGAACTACAAAACTGTGAAACTAAAATTGATAACCGACTTATTTTTAATGAATAACCTACGGTCATTAAATATCAACTCAATATTTTTCTTAATAATGTTTACATATTTATTTTAATAATTTTGTTCCAAAGTATTGATCGCAGAATATAACAATTAATCTGAGGCATTGAAGTTTTAATATCCTAATACTAAGCGTTCTAATTCTAACTACACTAGATTACAAATAGAAATTTATTAGTTGTTAATGTTATATATATATATATATATATATATATATATATATATAGAGAGAGAGAGAGAGAGAGAGAGAGAGAGAGAGAGAGAAAGGGACGCCATAAATGGAGGTTTCAGTGTCACCTCTCGAAGTCTCTAGAGGTTGTCTAATAAAGAAACTAAGATCTGGAAATCGGCATCGAAGTAAAGATTTTAATCAACCGCACTTATGTAGCAAGTCATAAAATAATGGGATGGTATGGAAAACCGTTGGGAGGTGCCAGACGCGTGAATCAGAGGTGAATCACTGCTCGCAGGGACAGTGGGACACATTGGGAGATTTGAGCCATAACCTCGCACAGTTCGCCCTGAAGGATCTTCATGATACAGTGAGCGTCGGCGTGGTCGTGAATTGCCGAGCCATGGCCTTCGCCCCAGCACAACACGATCAGGTTGAACTTGCCGTTGCCTTCGTCTACTAGATTACGTGTGTACCTGAAACAGGCACAAGACTTAACTTATCCTATCATTTATTATCGTGTGCTTAAGAAACGCGATCTTATCACGAGGAAAGTTCACAGAAGGTGCACCTGTGTCATGTCACTGCCGTTTCGATTCGGCAGCTTAAAATTCAATTCGTATCTCAATGTATTGTTGTATTTCAAGACGTTCAATGCAATTTTTAAACGAAAAACTGTAGTCATTGGTATACGAGGCAACCATAACACTTTAATTTTATCCAAACTCTAACACATCCTGGTGTATTAATTATTTTAATACAATATTGTCAAAGTGTTTTCTGTATTGTGGAGATGTCAGTTGAATAACTGAACAAATTATACTTGTCGTATAATTAAATAACTTAATTTAATTATTTAATTCTATTAAATTTGTAAATATATAAACCAATATTTTTATCTTTAAATTTAAAGTTTTCTATTTGTAATAGGATTTGGGACTAATAATTATGTTAAATATTATAATTATATAAATTCTTTACTACAATATTTGTACAATGAAAAACAGTTTGTATTTTCGCATGTTATCATATTCGAATAAAAAATAGTTAATAGTATGGACACAATTTATTGAAACGTGGAAATGAAGAGGACTCCGAGAAACGGGGGCGAACTGTAGAAAGATAATGAATTTATCATATTTATTTGAAAAAATAAATTTATAAAAATATACGATATATTTACTATGTTGAAAAATATATAAAAGTCAAATTTTATAGAAGTCATCGAAACATAAAGTAATAAGTTTCTGTAAATTATCATAAAAATACGGAAACGTAACAATGTATTTAATCATCTGTGCCATATTTTTTAACATTATTCCGTTCAAGCTGAATTAATATTTATTTTAATTCATATCAGTTATAATTTTATGATTTAAGGAAAGGCATTTATATTGATGATTTGTAAAAACTTGGCATAAATTTTTTATCAGATTATATATTCTAGTAATGACATATAATTACTGTTTTGAAATATAGATAATTATTATTACAGATAAATATAACATTATAAGGTTTTGGTTGTAGTTAATAACAAAGTATAAATATATATTTTTTAACATTAACAGTGCTTTTAAAAATTAATTGTAATATTTTAATTAAAGAAGCTATTAATTCATATCAAATATAATTTTTATATTAATATTTTGCTTATAACATGCATTATCATATAATATTGGCAATTTAACAGTTTAATATTCAACAATAAAGTATAAATGTATAATTCAATTATTAAATATTATTACAATCAAATTTATGAATAAAATAAATTTTAAATGTTCTTTAAAATTTTTAATAATTGTTTAAGTATTTTTCTGACTTTTAATAGAAGATTTAATAGATTTTATTTAAATGTTAATATATTTATCAGATTAACAAATTTCAATCAATGTATATATAAATTTTATTAAGAGATGCAAAGATGTACAAATTCAATACTTTTATATTAATAGATTGAATTAAAAAAAAAAAAAAAAAAATAAAAAAAAAAATAAAAAAAAAAAAGGAAAGTATTCTATTCAAGAATAAAAAATATAATTTTCAATTATTTCATATTTCTACAATCATAGAATAATTATTTTTCTAATGTTTTGATTTTTAATCATCTAATTTGAAGACATGGTAGACAAGTAAAAAACAAATTTCAAAACATTAGCTCATAACTCGTCGTTAAAATAATGATTAATGGCAAGATAACCCGTATGAACTTGATCGATTCCCATTTAAAATGTTTAAGCAATTCCAATCTGTATCCAAATACACTGATAATAAAGAATATAACTCCATTTTCTTTATAAAATCTGGTGCAACCATAAAAATAACAAAGAATATTACATTTCAGAAGTTGTGCCTTTTAAAAATATTAAAAGCTGTTGAAATATTTATCATATTTATAAAGAGATTATAAATGGGAAATACTTTAATTACTTCATGAGGATTTGTATGCGTCATTATACGCAGTGAACGTTAAAGTATGAACAGGTGATAAAATACTGTTGTTCAATATTCCTAGAATCCAGTTGATTCTATAAATGAGTGGCTAATACATTGAAAAGCAAATTTTTTCCTTCAAATTAATTGTAACGTTTTTAAAAATTATTTCGAATAAGTTATATAAGTCAAATGGTTCGAATAATTGAGAAACTTATTGGTAATATAAAACGTCTGTATACCTACAAAATAAAAATGATAAACTAGTTAAAAAATTTTAAAATGTAATGTGAATACAAATTTTCATTATTTTGTAGTATAAATCTAACTATGTAATTCAAATTTGCGCTGCACGCTTATATGGTCCATTAAAAACTTCACCAATTATTAACAATTATTACAAAATCGAATATAGTATTGCATATAATAGTAAATAATAATTCAATAATTAGTGATCGATATTAATGTAGATAAGCAAAAGCACCGATTATAAAATAGTCACCGACAATTGATTCGCGTCGATATAACAGAGAGTTTATTAAAAATATGCGTAAGGAATGGAACTATATATTCCGTTCAAGAAAATAAGTCATGTATACCATTTATTTACAAGCAATGTAATAGTTTAAATTAGATAAAATACCCACACACGCGCGCGCATACACATCTATATTTCTTAGGAATAGTGCTAAAGTAGTGGAGTAAAATGCTTGAGAGAATCATTGATGAACATAATAGCACATAGTACTGCGGTCAGCAGATTTGAAAATTTGATTAATTTGGCTATCGCATTTGAATTACGATATTATTTTACGATCTTAATAAATTTTTCTTTTCTTTCATATTACCATGTATACAGTGGTGCATTCTATTTTAAGATCGTAAATCTGATAAATCACTTTCGCTTCGGAACTATAAATTCTTAACAATTCAAAGTTCCTTTAAACTTTTAAGAAGCTAATCGCTATGATAGAGTAAAACGTTTATCTAACGAACATTCCAGCTTTCATACTACTTCATGCATCTACTTCGCTTCTTATACGCAATAAGTAATTGACATTAAAAATTTGTATTACTTCAAATAACGTGCCGTGTAATATGTCACCGACTATATGTATTCTTGGACACAAAACATATACAAGCATTAAAGGTACTAAAACTAGGTGTAAAAATGAAGGAAGCCTTGAATTTTTTACAAACATCTCGAATGACTTTACATTGAGCAAAGTGCATACCTACCTATATCGGTCGAATTTGGCGAATTTTCTCCACTCCTGGGGGTTGCTCCTATAAGTGGCCATAAGGTCCTGCACGTGGTCTATGTCGACGTCATTACTGGCGAAGGCCTCATATAGCTGCTCGATGAGGTCCTTCAGGTTTATGCTTTTGGGTGCGCTATTACCGTGGAAGCGCTCCTGCAGCACCTGCCATGGTTCCATCGCTCGCCCTGAGACACCCGCGCGCTCCGACGTCTATCGTCCTCGATTGACTCGTGTCGCGTCCACGCTGATCTCGTACGGTCCGCGCAGTGAGACGTGATTACTCCCTACTCCGGCTCGGCGGCCCTGCTTTTTCTATCGAGGCCCCTCCCCCCTCCCCCTATCACTCTCTCGCTCTCTTTCTCTCTCTCTCTCTCTCTCTCTCTCTCTCTCTCTCTCTCTCCCCTCCCACTCTCCCACCCTCCTTCCCGCCGTCTCTTTCTCTCGCTCTCTTCGCGAACCACACGTGGAGGTCAGGAAATACACGTTTCCCGACCAAAAATCTTAGGCTTTCACAATATTTTATACGACGCAGGAACGACGTGCCTAATGATCGATTGTCGAATATCGTTGTGACATCAGCAACAGTTGTAAGAGTACATTCCCAGTTTGAACCCCACCTCGCACCCTTTGCTTCGCGTTCGCGAGGCTCCTCTCTCCCCTTATCGCTCCCGTCCTCTCGGAAGCCTGATATCGATAATATTAACGATTCGATTTGCGTGTCTTATGGATTTTCAAATTTTTGCTTTTCCCTCATGGTTCTTCGTAAATATCAATGTTGTATATCATCGTAGGATCATTTTTGCAAGAGCGCTACGTATTTTGTTACGCGTTTTCAAAATTTCACGAATTTTTAATTTGCAAATTGTATATATACGCTCTGGACACCTACATACTTACTATTTGCATCATAATTTTGGCCAAGTTGCTGATAAAACGATAATTTATCATATTATATAAATGATAGCAATGTAGCCTAATTGCTTATGAGTTTCAATATAAATTAAATGCTCGCTGCTCGTTCATTTAGTAATAATTATTTTACATATGATATACTAAAGTTCATTTTGCCTCCTTGGCCACATGCTTTACCTATTCCAATAAAATATAAGTCTTACTCGACAATATTATAAAATCACATGCTAATATTGTGCATCGAATACTATATTCTGTTGCAATTACAATCAGTTAACAAGTTCTGAGAAACTTCTTTATCTACGAGAAACATCTGTAAATTTTTAAAATACTTCACATATTATACAATACTTGCGCATCTTTACATAGTGTCCTTTAAAAAACAATGTTTGACTAAAGAACCTTTATACGAAAATTAAGCACAGTTATGAATTTAAATGCAATATTATTTAAATTTTACAATTTCATTTAAATTTTAATTTTTATGTATGAGACATTCAAATGATATCTATAAAGAATTTCATAAATTATTCGAAAGTACGTTTCAATTGTATAGATAGGAAAAGTTTCTTATAAAAATGAAAATAAAATGCAGGTTCATACCTTGTAGATTATAATGGTGTACCGGGTTACAATATATTTACAAAATACGCATTTAAAATTAATCATGATAAGTAGTCATAAGAGTAGTTTTATTGTTTTACTCTCATTTTGATTAGTTCTTTGTTTTCAATAAGGAATATAGATGCAATTTTCAAGCAATTATCAACGATGTCAAGGATACATTAAAAAAACATTTATTTATATTTTCAGACGAGGAAATGAAATTTAGATTAGGTATTCCGTAATACATAGATCTATTCTAATTTTTAAGCTTCATTATAATACTAGATTTATATAATATAAGATAAAAGTATAGATATATAAATAATTTCATGCTTTTTTATACAATAGTTACAAGAACATAAGTAAGTGTTTGATTTATCTTTTTTTTTTTTCATTTTTAATTAATTGTTTTACATTGTAAGAAATGCAGCTGATTGTCTTGCATTCGTAATTATGAAATCTATCTTAAAATCGATAACGCCATTTTGTAAATTAGCCAAATTAGAATTAAGTGAAGACCAAATACCATCGCCTACAAATAATACTTAACGTTTGTGAAAATTTTTGTAATAGTAATCTCAAAATGTTTATTACACATTCAAAATAATCTTTTTTGAGTAAATATTATAAATGTGTCCATATTATTAAATTATAAAAGTACCTTATTATTTTTATAAGGAAACGATATATAAAAAGAAGTTGGAATGTATGAATTAAAATATTTCACATTTAACGTCTATTTACCTGAAAAGTATTTAAACGCATATATAAAAGTTTCGAATATTAATATATATGGTAAAAAGAGCCATATATTTATATGTAAATATAAATATATGCATATGCGAATATTATCACGATGATCCACAAATCTCGAGAGCAATCCAATTGACTTTAATTTATCAAAATATGAAGACTCGAAGTCAATTATTTAAAAAGATAGGTTCTCGTCCGGAAAAATAATTAAAAAAATTATCTTTATTATTATAAGTGGAGCAGTGGCCTTTGAAAAAATATAAAGACACATAATTAAATAGAATAAAAGTTATTTAGCACAATTAAATGACAATCTATTCATACGTACTATAAGATTTATGAAATATTACGTGAGCTTATTCTCGTTCAATTCTAAATCAAATTAAATCAAATTATTTAATATTATTTTATATGATTCGAAATTTAAGTTACTAGATTTTAATGACCGAACTTTTTCTTATTCTATTAGATAAAAATCAGTAAGACAGTTTGTTAAATTCTATAATTCTCATTTTTAAATGATCTACATCGACTCGCGCCTTGATGTCAAATTTACATTTACAGGCTTTTGATAAAAAATTTGAAACCACATTAAAGTAATGACGAATTGTTTCTTTCATTAAATGTATTATACATGAAATCCTAGATGAGCTACGTTTAAGTGTAAATTACGTTTAAGCATCTGACCAGCAAGACAGTAAGATAACAATAAAAGTGTCCAATGAGGCAACGTACCAAGGTATGTTGAACAATAGTAGTAAAGATATAATGCATATGTTAAGGTATTAAAAGGCAATCTGATCGTACGCAAGTTTGCTGGCACATTAACGTACACTTTTTTCTTATTCGATTATTATTACTGACATGTAGCAAGTGACATTCATTTACACGAATATTGAAAGATGTATGACGCTTGCGCCGCACTAGCAATCGCAATTAGAACTAGAACCAAAAAGTCACCTGGACGCAAAATACTAGTTCGTTGGCATCATCGCGTGCCTCTAAGGTGAGTCTATCGGCAATTGCTAATCGTTAGTCCATGATCGTCAATCGAAATGTCACCTGACAAACAGCCCTTCAAAACCTGGTCAGTGACCATTATTACCTGTAGTCTTCTCGTTTTTCTCGAAATTCTCGTTTTTTGAGCTCACATATCGGCTCGCATATCGTACCTTCCAATGCCACACACTTTTTGTAATCTTCATATTTTATTAATTAACATTAGACTGATTGTTGACATAGAATGTAAATGAAAACAGTTTAATCTAGACTTTCTTTAGTATACGACGAGTAGCCATTTAGCAATGATTACAAATTCTTTCTCTCACGAACATTTCATGACCATATTTTACTCCAAGCCAAAAAACTATTTGTAACTAAGATCTTACATCAGATATATAACATATATAGAATTATAACAGGACCCACGCTTTCTTTACTTTGATATTCTGTTATTCATTACAATTTATATCCTATGAATATTCAAATACAACATTTCATTTTTTTATCTATATATTGGGAAACCCAATTTTGATTGGTGCCTATAAGCTTTTAAAACTCTTACAACCCTACAAAATTCTTTAAAACTTTTAAAAATTTAGAACATTTCCAAAAAATATGGCATAAATTATTAACATAAATTTTAATCATAATTTTTTTGATAAATATTGATTGAATTCAATGAAATTCAATTAAAAAAATGGTGTATAAATGTTTTGTAAGTAATTGTTTTTATTTTATTTATGTTTATAGAATTTCCGATTATTATTTTATTTATGTATGCGTATCGGGCATAATAAAATTCTTTAAGTAAGAATATATATATATATATATATATATATACATCTTAAACTTTGAGAGCAACATCATAAACAAAAATTATTACCAAACGAAAAATACTAAACATAATAAAATTCTTAAGTTTTTAGTTTTAACCAAAATAAAAAATTTAATCTATTTTCATTGGAAAAATAATTCTATTACAGCAATTATACTTACATTGATGCCAATTTTATGTTGTGCTAATTATTATTATTTGGAATCAACAAATTATCCAGGTACAATGTATTAATGAATGTTTAAATACCTCTAAATGTTAATGAGAATGAATGTACAAAAAAAAGGTGTTTTCAACTTCAACTAAATTTCGTAATAATTATAAATATTTATACTCGTATTTATTCAACATAGTTAAAAATTTATTACGGAAAAATTTATATTATAATGGTTTGCCGTCTGGTGATTTGAAATACTCTACTAAGAAATATAGTGTTTTTACTACCAAAATATTTTCCAATGCATATTATTATGGTATTATAAGTTTCTTTTATATACATAAATATTACATTAAAACAATCCATAAATATAATTTGCTTGATTCTGCCACTCTGTGTAAAGTTCGAAGAGACTAGATTAAAATCATCAAATCTTGAGTAGTTGATCGGTTTGTTCGTGAAGAGCCTGATAAAAAACCGAGGAAAAATTGTAATGATTAATTTACATTTTTTAACTGATTCTATCTATTCATATATATATATATATATTACAAAAAAAAAAAAAACTATAAAACGGACGCTAATAAAACGAGTAAATAACGAAAATCGTCGTTACCACTACATATTGAAAATAAGTGAAAAACATATCTTATCTACATATTTTTAAAATGTACGTCATTAATATCATAATATTTTGTTTTTGTATATTCACACATATAATAATTAATTAAATTCAGTTAAACCATGAGATAAAAAATCGTTGAAATACTCATTAAGCGAAGTAAATATTTACAAAGAATAAGTGTTTGTGAAATTTTCTATGTACTATGTTACTGGTTTACTTTTCTTACTTTTCTTATGAATAAAAAATTGTTTATATTAGAAACTGTATAAAACTTCTTTATATTAGAAAATCTGTAATTTTCAACTATATACATTTTCTCATCGAATCTATTTGGCTAATTTTAATTAATTTAGGTTATATTTTTTTTAGTTATGTTTAATTTAGTCATGTTATATATATCT